GAAGCACCCACCTCGGGGACTTGCAGAAATGTCCCACTGGCAGCCTTCTTCTTGGCCAGTGTTCGGAGGCCGTCCCAGCCCAGGGTGAGGTGGAAGCTGCTCTGTCCTCTCTTTCCCCTCTCGCCTTCTCTCTTCCCTCATCTGGGCACCGGAACCCCATGCTTGCGAGTCGGAAGGCTTAGTTTCCGGACGGAGTGGGGCAGCTAATATAAAAGGGTGTCTATTCAGGCCCCCAATGTGTTGTTAACCCCCTTCTCTTGACTCTGGTGCATCAATATGCCATACACTAGGCATCCCCTTTATGGACACTAAATCCATAAAAGTGGCCTCAGAGGTTCCAGATAGAGACCAACATTTGTTTAAACCTTGGTCCTCTACACCTCACGACCCGGGAGGTATAAACAAGGCAGAGAGGCTCTCCCTTGAGTCCACACTGGGAAAGGACCAAGAGTTTCATATTGTTTGTTCCTGGCAGGCTCCTTGACCCGAACGGACTCTCCAGACACACGGAGATTCCAGAGGGGCATCTTCAATAGTTCAGGTGTGTTGAGGGCTTAGACACTGTCCTGAGTGTTTTCCATAATAAGGCTCCTGATTAACAAACTGCCCCAAATGTTTTCCATTTGCGCCTTTAATCGACACCACAGCCCTATGAGATGCAATTACCGCGCTATTTCACAGACAGGGAGCCTAAGGCATAGCCGGTCGTGGTCTGGGCTCCCGCTCTCTCCACTCCACCTAGAAAGCGAAGTTTGAAGAACTGCGCTTTCCAGGGCCACGAGAGCCAGGCAGAGTGGCAGTAGGCCACCAGGGGGCGCTGCCCGCCGGCAGGAATCCTGCCCTGAGACAGAGGCCGCAGCGCGCGCGGAGGCCAAAGGGACGTGGGGGAGACCAGCTCTGCATCCGACTGCACGCTGTGCTGGGACTCCCTGCCCCCCGGCCCCGCGCCTCTGACAACCCAGCTTCTCCACCCCGTGCCCTTGGTGGGCTCCCCACACGCACCCTGCTCCCGCATCCTCCTACACTGGCCACACCAGAGTGTTCGGGGTCTGAGCCCACCAGTGCCTACTCACCAGATATGGTCTTCAGAAGATCCCCTCTCCCTCCCGCGTG